TGTTTTATCGTTGATTAAGTTTTTTATATAAACTATTGTCAACGGGGTGTACTAAGTACCACATGAAATAAGACACGTAGTTGTAGTGATTGTAGAAATAACTATATTTAATTTAACTTAAATTTAATCCACTATAAACTAACTTTACAACTACAAATACCGATTAATTAAAAATGATGATAAAAATCAATAGGAATGAATTAGGATAATCGTGATTGTCTTATGGAGATGATGTTTTCTCCAGCGAGTCTATAATAGCACTGCTTTAAAATTTTATAAAATCTATGAACCTACTATCTCTAACAATAATGTAAAAACATAATATTATCCTACCCCCAGGTAGGCGGTCATTGGACCTACAAGAATGCAGCCGAGGGGAATTTTGGCTATTAACAATAATAAAATTGTGATTGTACGTGACAAACACAATAGCACACTCGTTATAATTTACCCGACTACCCCGTATACCTAACATCATCCTTTTGCAATAATGCGGTGTATATTACTCGTTATAGTTTAATTTTTAGTTTCATGGAAGAGAAGAACACGTGAAGAAAATTGGAGAACAAACATTTACCGTTCGTATTATTAAATTTTAGTAAGAAATATCAAAAAATAATTACAAAGAAGTACATTTTACTATGTACCAACAATTTGCAAAAGTACTGGATATATTTTACTTGTTCTAACTTCGTTTTTAAGGTTTCTCTCATGTTTTTATTATTAAATGATAATTATAAGTTTACCAAATAATTATCCTGCATCCATGTGGAAAGGATACCACTAAAACTCGTATATAAATAAGACACTTAGGTAATCGTTTTGTGTTAAGTACAAAGCACTTTTTCTCTTATAAATTAAATCTAAATCTACGCTGGATAATTCATTTATACATAAGCTTATCATTTTATGCATTGTTTAATCAATTCATTTTGATTATTTTTTTTTGTACCTGCACCTATCAGTGTTTAGTCCTGTCTTCGTCGCACATTTACAAATAAAACGATCGGTTTTAATGGGCGGGGAAAACAACCCTCACGATATCTCCTACGTTAGCGATAGGCTAGAAAATCCGGGACCAGGACGAAGGATATTCCTGATACTCCTGAGCGCTCCAGTCATTTACGAACCTCGACACGTGTTTCGTTTTGTATTAACTTGTGCCAACACGTGTCGGTGTTTGCTATCACCTTAAGAACAACCGTCGCCTATTGATGATGCCACGTGTTGTCAATTAGTTCGCGATTTACAACCCCGTTCGATTGCGATGACGATCGAAATGCAACAAGTTTTGTAAATTACTGAGGCTAATAATGCAAAATAAAAAAGGATTGACAATGTTGATTTGATTAATTGGACGGAAAAAAAGGAAATGATGTTTGGCATGGAAAATATGGATCTTGACATGGTGAATCGTCAGTTTTTCTTTGAACCCGGAAGTTTCTTCGCTAATACTAGCAACGGAAGTGCTAGCTCAAGTTCGACTAATAGCGGAGATTTTTTTCTCTATGACGAAAACAGTAGCGATTCCGCGGGTTCTACGTATTCCTTTAGCAGCGATCAAGAAAATACTGCATCCTGCTCTAAGGAGTGAGTAAAATTATCCTCTTTTCACGCTTGATGAAATAGGAAACGTTTTCTATTTCCGTGTTTTCATATTGGCTTTTTCTATGTGTAAGAATTTAGTTACGCTTTTATAAATTTTCAAATTGAATTAGGAAGACTTGTTACCAAAATACCAAAAGTATAAATTTTAAAAGGAATATTAATTAATTAAAGGAAATGAATGTAAAGTTTCAAAAATATATATTAATTGTTCACA